TTAAGTGTCCCTGGATTCAACCCCCAGCACCAAAAACATGAGCCAGCCATGGGCTGTGTGTGGGAGCTATGCGCATTTGAGCATATGAGAAAACTGGACTGACATTGCTGTCTGATTGGGCTGTGCCATGTATGAGTGCCTTTTCGCTCACTCTGCTGTGATCCCACATAGCACCTGAGATGGGTATGGCTTTCCAAGATGTTGGTCAATCTGCTGGCCACAAGACATCACCAAGCAATCCCCTGAAACCCGACCCCTTGTTCTCTTATAATAGTACCCTTTTGTCTTACTTGGATGGAATATTTTATCAAACAGCTTTCCCCAATAAAAACCAGGGTTGGGGCGTGCTCTCTCTTGCCTGTCTCTCTTGCCTCCCTTTTGGGAGCTGAGGCCGAGGAGCCATCACTGCACTTCAAAAAAGTTATTTTGTGTGGTTTTTAGTCGCCAGCCCAATTCACACAGAATGAACCTGATTTAGTCACATGTTGCAACACCCACAAAATAGACAAATGGTATATTGATTATTTCAAATTGAAATCACTAGAGGAAGTGTAACTTCAGGAAAGGGCTATTTGATCTGTTTTTTCTTACATGCAATAAGCCATAGAGATTCTTTGTGAAATGATGCCCTTCACATACCAAGGCCAGAAAATAGCCTTAATCACCAGAGACTGGTAATGGCGGGGTGGGGGGGAAATTAACCTGAATAAACAAACTATGAAGTAACCCTTATCTTCCACTAGCTTTTTTACCCCACCCCATACATCCCCAAAATTTACCTCCCAGTCCATATAGCCATTTGTCCTGTCATTACTTCACAAATTTATTGTTCTTTGTTTAAGAAGTATAAAAGCATCGTGCTTTAGGCGTTTCTTTGGACTTCACTTTCTTGTGAAGATCCCCAAGTACATGTAAATTTAATAAAATCGTTATGCTTTTCTCTTGTTAATCAGTTTTGTATTAAATGGGTTCCTAGATCCAGCCAAAGAGCCCACATAATAACTAAGAGGGGGTCGAGGGGATCTCTCTCTCCCCTATACCCTCACATAGCTTGTAAGTAGTAAGTCACGTAAATCTAACCACAGGGCCTGTATTCTTTCAGGGGCACAGTCCTCCTGTGTCTAACTGATGAGAATAATCCACATGAACAATTAAAGAACAATAAAGTACTAAACAATACAGTATTGAGTTTAAGACTGGAGGAGTTTAGAAAAGGGGAGCACTATTTGGAATGTCCTGGTGCTGAAAGAGAAAATACACTGAATATACTATTCCAGCTGGGCCCTGGAGAAGGATGAGATATGACCTGGGCAGCTGAGAGAGTGAATGTTAATGAAGCCAGAGCAAAAGCACAGAGATGGGAGTGGTGTGAAACCTGTTCCACTGAGAATGAGCAATGAACTGGGGTGGACAGAAAATAGAAAATGAGGAATAATTTGAAGGGAACAAAAAGTTAAACTCGGTGACAGGATATATAAAGGTCGGGAAAATGTAAGTCAAAGATGGAGACCAAGATTCTTTCCTTGGGAAGAGATAGTCACTGAACAAAGATAGAACTTATAATGGAGTCAGATCATGCATATATTTAACATCTGCAAAGTCAACTATATGTACTTTGTGAATGAGTAAAGCCAGGAGAGGAGTAATTTAAATAATGCAGGTGATTCTGCTCAACATTTCATCTGGACAGTATCTGCTCTGGGGTAAGGAGAACTAGGAGCTGGGATCTGCTGTGCCGTCAATGAGTCTCAGTTCCTGTCACAGGGTGAAAGTCTTCTGCTATGTGCACATCATGATCCTAATATTCAAAGAAAAAAATTTTTTTCATGCAACAAAATTTTTAAAAGTAAACCAACTACTTATTCTGCTGCAAAATGAAAGGAATAGGAGGATAAAGAGGAGAGAAAGAAAAGGCCTCAGTTGTGGGGAGAAGAGCCATCATTTGCCGTGCTGGAGAAAATTTGTACTCTGTGCAGTTTTTTTCCCTGAAGTCTGACTTTAGTCCTAAACCATTTGGTAAGATGCAACTCCACTGCAATTTGCAAAGGAAAGTATCCTTTAAGATGACTTGGGTTGAGAGTCAAAGAAAACTCAACTCATACTATCCTAAAACAGTAAAGGATAATAATTGCCTAATCTGTTAAATCCAGATAGAAGATGATCTTCGGGCAAGTTCTGATCCAGTGGTTGAATAGTTTACCGAGGTTCTTTTTCACTATCTGCCCAGTCCGTCTTCCACGGAGAGCTTCATCCTAAAACTGGCTCTATTTATAAAGTGACTGCCAGCACTAACCAGAACTGCTGGCTGTATATTACATACCCAGTGAAAGAGGGTTTCCTCAGTCAGATAAAGGCCTGGGGTTCCTCTGATTAGACCATCTCTAGTCAGATGCCATGTCTGAACTGGAGAGGATGGGACAGGATTATCCTACTCGTCATGGAGAAATCAAGGGCTTACCTGGAGATAGGGGTTAGGTCACTGTCAATTCAAAATGTGTATCTAAGACTTCCTCTTAGGGGAAAGATAATAGCTGATGCTAAGGAGAAAACTTTTTTTTTTTTTTTTTTTTTGGTATTGAGGATTAAACCCAGGGGTACTTAACCACTGAGTCACATCCCCATTCCTTTTTCATATTTTATTTAGAGACAGAGTCTTGCTGAGTTGCTAAGTGCCTTACTAAGTTGCTAAGCCTGGCTCTGAACTCACGATCCGCCTGTCTCAGCCTCCAGAGCTGCTGGGATTGCAGGCGTGCGCCACTGCGCCCGGCTGAAAAAATATTTTTGTGTTGGTAAGTAGGGAAGATGAGGAGCTTAGTTCAGTACACAAACATTTATTCAGCCAACATTTTGAGTTACTGCCCTGGGCTGGTCACTGTGTCAATTGGGGTCACAAAAATGAGTAGAACATGAACTCTCTTTTTTTTTTTTTTATCAAGTAAAAGAGATGAACACTTTGTTCAAGGATAAAACAACCTTTAAGAAGCAGAAGATGGAGCAAATAACTACACTCCAGTCCCAAGACTTTTTTTATATAGGTTTATTAGATTTTATTATTGTTATTAGGGGCTAAAAACCTCAAAGATCAAACTGCCCAGAGCTGGAAAACACAGGGCCTCAGAAGATATTTTAGGACTTAGACCCTGAGGAAATGTGTTGTTCTCACACACAACAAAGGTATGGACTGCCTGAAAACACCTTTATTGCCTCTTTCTGTTTTACGTATGAGATTCTCCATGCCAATGTTTTGTTTTGTTTAAGTTGATAGGTTGGTTTTTTGGTTTGTTTGTTTGGTACCAGGAATTGAATGCAGGGACACTCACAATCACTGAATCACATCGTCAGCCATTTTTATACTTTATTTTTACTTATTTTGAGACAGGGTCTTGCTAAGTTGTTTAAGGCTTTGCTAAGTTTCTAAGGGTGATTTTGAACTTGTGATCCTCCTGCCTCAGCCTCCTGAGATTTATCTGCCTCCTTCAAAATTCAGCTAGCAGATAAATAAATCCAGTTATCTTATGTAGATGGGCTCATTCTTCTGATACGAACTGGGATTGCAGGTTTGCACCATGGCACCCACCTTTATATTTTCTTTGAGACGGGATCTCAATAAATTGTTTAGGACCTAAGTGAAGTTTTTTGAAAAAAGAATTCCTCCGATAAATGAATACAAACCACTGATCTAGCCCAATGTGTTCATTTCACCAAGAGAATTGGAGCTCATAAAACAGAACCAGTTTGCTCAAGTCATGCATCTTATTAACAACTAAGCAAAGATAAGAACTCAGTGGTCCTGACTCTCGGGCTAATGCCCATTCCATCAACTTACTAGGCTTCAAGAAAGATATTTTAGGACTTAGACCCTGAGGAAAATTTGCTAGTGACAAATAGATTATGATAATCAGTGCCCAATGATGAGAGAATCTGAAGAAATCAGAACTGAAATTAGGGCTGAGAAGGGTAAAGGATGAACTTCAAAAAGTCAGGACTGTCCCCTCCAACTTCAAAAAACTTGGAATGAGGGTGCAGGTGGCTGGTTGGGTTTTCTCCTGCAAGGTAACAGACATACAGAAAATTTGACTCCAACCAAGCTGAGGGCCAGGAGAAGTAGGCTAGAACCTAGCCTGGCTGCTTTACCCAGGAGTGGGTAGGACCAGCATGAACGAAGTGTTTTGTTCTCTTCTCTCCCACAGTAGCTTATGGCTAGGATGGAGGGAACCTTGGAAAAGCAGTTCCAATCGTTTTATAGACAATAATGAAAACAGAGAAGTAGAGAAGGGTGTTGGCAGGGGTCGGGGTAGGGGGTTCCATACTTGGAGGAAGCAAAGATGCTGCTGAAGCTCTTTGAAGATGTTTGAGCAAAACCCAGCATTAAGTGAAGAAAACCACTCTGAGATTTATCTGCCTCCTTCAAAATTCAGCTAGCAAATAAATAAATCCAGTTACCTTATGTAGATGGGCTCATTCTTCTGACACAAACTGTACCTGCATTCATTTCCTCTGCATGTGGGAATCTAATACACTTACTTGTCTGAAGGAGCCATTTATTCCTGCATTGTGAACTATCTTATTAGACTTATTCTCTGCACCTTAGTAAAACCTCGGCCACAGTGAGGCACTACTGCAGGACTTTCAACAACTCTGCCCAGGCCTAGGGACTCTTGGGACTATTGACTTTAAAAAAATAATAATAAAACAGAAACAGTACTCCGCCCTCTGGATAGCAGAAACCAACACAATGCATTCCTTTTCTCTTTGCTTCCATCTCCCTCCCTTCCTTCCTTCGTCTTTCTCTTCCTCTCCCCATCCCCTGTTCTCTCTTCTTCCTACATCAATTCCCGTTCCCTGTCCTAAGCCTTTACTAGTCCTCTGCTCTACTGGAACACTTGTGGAACAGGCAGAACAACGCCAGCCCAAAGGAACACAAAGAAAGCAGGCAAGCACATCCTCTTGCCACTACCCCTGACCCACCTGCTGCCAAGCACTTTCGCTGTCCCACTCAGGCCTCTTGGGATGGATATCACCCGCCTACTTCTGGCCACCCTACTGGTCTTCCTATGCATCCTCGCTGCTTACAGTCATCTGGCACCTGAGGAGGAGCCCAGAGATGACGGGAGCCTAAGGAGCAACTCCTCCATGAAAGTACTGGATATCCCTTCTGTCTCTATTGTGGGTAAGTAGCCAGGCGTCCAGCCTCTGGTATCTGGCCAATAAAAGGGGGCTTCAGGATGTCAAGCCTAGTCCCCAAGTTGTTACCAAAATTCACTACCATAGTCATGGGTCCTTCTTGTTCATCCTGTAAAACAGTCCTAGGGGAACAAAGTATCCTTTAATTCCTTGGGTTTGGGAAAGCCCTGCATGCAACCAATCTAAAATGCAGCTTAGCATGTTAGAAACTCTGAGAAACCCTGAAGTCAAGATGCTTGGTGAACTTTGTTCTAACAGCATTTCTGAAAGTTAATGAATCCCAGGACTCCTATCAATGGTAACAAATTTTAGGAAATGCTGGAGAATATAACCAAGCCTGGGATAAACTAGTCCTGCCATGGCAAGGTTTAGAATTGCTGCCCAGGGGAAAATATGAGGGGCATTAGAACCTGGCATTAGAGATCTGGTTTGACTTCATCTGATAATAGTAGACATGGGCTGGGGGAGCAGCTCAGTGGTAGAGTGTGCGCATAGCACGTGCAAGGCCCCAGGCTCCATCCTAACCAAAATAATAATTGACGTACTATGAGGTGGGGGCTGTTTTTATTTATATATCACAATTGAGGAAATTGAGGCTTAGAAAAATTAAATAACTAGCATAAGATCAGAAAGTTCTTAATTGGCAGAGCCAGAATTCAAACTCAGATGAAATGTTAAAGCTCAAAACTAATATCTCTTTATTGCCTTTGTCTCTCCCTAGGAAAAGAGGATATTCTAAACATATCAGGGGATTAAGGGCAGGGAAGGGAGGCAACACCAACATTGACTGATTATCTTTAATATGGCAAACTTCACTTTATAAACACACTCATTTATCCCTGCAAGATAGGTAAATAGAACCCTTTCGCAGATGAGAAAACTGAGTCTCAAGGAGGTTAATGAGGTAACCTCACCTGTTGCATGGCAGGTTCTAAGGCTGTTATATGACAGAATTAGAATTTAAATCAGATCTGCCTGGCTCCAAGCTCTGAGAAATAGAAAGTAGTAACACAGTTGTATCCAGGTATTGATATCCCATTATCCCATTTTCAGGGGATAACAATATCTTTCACCTGCCAGGTTAAAGACTAAAGAAGCACCTGGGGTAACTGAGTGGTGAGGGCTAAAAAGGTCAAAAGACCAGGCCTCTCATGGATATTACAGGCAGATCCCAGAGCCTCCTCAGATTTCCTGTTTGCCTTCCTCAGAGTTCACTGCCCTCAGTTCCTGGCTCCAGGTTAGCAGCCAGGCTAACAAGAACCTGCTGCTGAGTCCCATGATGTGATTCATCCAGCCAAGGCCAACCCCTCCCCCTCCCCCCCCCCCCCCCCACCCTCTGAGGCCCTCAGCTCCTTCCATTTTACTGCTGTAAAAGGGTCCCCGGAAACATCTGGCTTTGTTCCTTCTGTCTCTCTTTGAAGCACTGAACAAGAAATCCAAAAAGATCAGCAGAACAGAAGCAGAAAAGAGGACAAGATCTTCCAAGGTAGGCCTGAGAGTTTTCATTGTGGGGGAGGGTGGATCAGACTTAAAAGGGAAGGACCCCTAAGCCGTGGTTAAAAATGAAATAAAACATTTTCAAGGCCTACATTAACCAAAGAACTCAAAGCTACCTAAAGGATTCCTGGCGTAGAGTCCTCAGGCCCCCCGCCCCCCACAGAAGCCCAGGGAGATGAAGTTCACTGAGCAAAATTGCTTACCTACTGAAAAGCATCTTCTGATGCTGATTTAGCCCCTTGTCTGAAAATTCACTATTGCTCAGTCTTTTCCAAGGGGTTATTTCAGAATCACTTCCACAACCTTTGCCATATCTGAGTTTTACCTACTTATTTCAAATCAAAACTTTTAAAAATACAGAAAGATAATAGAAAAACAGTATCACTATTAATAGAAAGATAAGTGAAAATAAAATATTGTTAGTGAAGTCTCACTGGATGGTACTGTCTACTAAATGCTCTAAATCTGAAGCCTGATCTCTGTGTTTAAAAAAGCAGATAGTGTTAAAGAAACATTAAGTACATATTAGCATCCAACTGAGCCTTTCAAGTTGAGATATTTAAAAGAATCCTTTCTCATTGTATGATTCAGGGTCATTTAATATTCATGTCTCACCTCAAATCACTGCACCATAATACAGGTCCCCACACTTTGGGAAACACTGGATGTACACATTATCCTGTTTTAATGTGCCTCCATTTATCAGATCAACTGAAACCACAGCAGAACCAGTGGGCTAGGTATAGAGAGGTAGAATCTGGCATACTGTGTGATCTTGAGAAAGTCTCTGCTTCTCTGGTCCTGTTTTGATGGCTCTAGAGGAATGAGCAGGTCAGATGACTGACAGATAATATATAATGGACTAATATATTTACATGCTAGGTACTAGGAATATACAGTGAACAAAAAAGAAATATCCCTGCTTTCACAAAGGTTACATTTTTGTGGGGAAACAAGTGAACAGCAAGTAAATAGAGGTAAAATAAATTCAGATGATAAAGGCTGTGAAGAAATTAAAGCACAATGATGAAAGAAAATGAAGGGAAGACTAGTCAAAAAAAGGCCTAAAGAAAGAGCACTGAAATAAAAACTCAATAACCTAGAGCAGCAATGTCTAATGAACAATGAGGGCCATATATAGAAGTATAAATTCTCTAATAGCCACATTAGAAAAAAATAAGAAACAGCTGCAATTAATTTAATAACAGCCCATCGTATTTAAAATATTAACATTTCAACATGCAATCAATTGTAAGTTACTGAAATATTCATTTTTTATGCTAAGTCTTTGAAATCTGGTGTACAGTATAGCTGATGCAGCACATCTCAAATTCAAAGCTAAATCTTCAACAAAGTAAAATGTGGTCCTGATAAAATAAACTTGTGTTTAATGGCTAAAAAAAAGAAAAATAATAAGTTTTTACAATGCTTCCGTTTTTAAATTAATTAAAATTAAATAGCCAGGGGTGGGGACACACTTCTGTAATACCAGTGATTCAAAAGGCTGAGGCAAGAGGATCGCAAATCAGAGGTCAGCTTTGGCAATTTAGGAAGATCCTCAGCACTTTTGCTAGGCTCTGTCTCAAAATAAAAAATAAAAAAAAGGACTGGGGATGTAGTGCAGTGGTAAAGTGCCTCTGGGTTCACTCCCCAGTGCCAAAAATAAAAAATAAAGACTGGGGGTGTGATTCAGTGGTAGAATGACCCTGGGTTTTATCCCCAGTACTTAAAAAAAAAAATTAATAGAAAATTAAGTTCCTCAGTTGCATTAGACACATTTCAGTACTGAGTGGCTGTGGCTACTTGTACTGGATAGCCAGCAAAGAATGACCCCCAGGCTAGAAAGTAGCAAGTTCAAAGATCCCACAGCAAAAATTCATTTGCTGTGTAGTCAGAGGTCTGAGGCCAAAGGGGAGTGTGCTGGGCGCACACCTGTAATCCCAGATACTAATGAAGATGAGGCAGGAGGAAGGCAAATTGAAGAGACTCCACCTCAAAATAAAAATAAAAAAGCAGGGGGTGTAGCTCAGAGGCAGAACGCTTGTCTAGCATAACTGAAGCCATTCAGTTATGAGTTCATTCGAAATGCAAGAAGAAACTACCAGAAGGCTTTAAGCTGGGGTGGGATATGATCTTAGGTCTCCACAAGGTTCCTTCAGTTCCCTGAAGGATGGACCGTAAGGGGCCAAAACGACAGCGGGGAGAAGATAGTGGCCGGCCCTGGGTATCCGCGGTGAGAGAGAAGTGGGGGAACTCCGGATCTACTGTGAAGACACAACTGTGGATAGGGAAAGGGACTGTGGATAAACTAGTTTAAAACGATGGAGCTGAGTAGGGTCCTCTAAGGACAGAAAAAGGCCAGGCCAAAGCCAGGTAAGTCTGGACAGGGATCCAGAGACAGAAGGGGTGACCTGATTGGGGAAACCGGCAGGGACCAGCTGCGGTGCTCTGTGAGCACGAGTAGAGCGGTCGGTGGCGGGGGTGTCTGGCCCCGAGGCTTCATAGCCCCGAATTTTCAGGCCGAGACGATAAGCACGGCAGGCATGGCCAGTTCCAGCAGCCCGGCACTTCCCCTACAGAAAAAGGCTCCGATGAAGAAGGTAGCGCGGCCCCGGCCCCCTCCGCCCACGCCCTGCGTGGCCACCCGCGACAGCTGCAAGTCGCCGTCGCCACCCTGCTGCGACCCGTGCGCCTCCTGCGTGTGCCGCTTCTTCGGCAGCGTCTGCTCCTGTCGCGTACTCAACCGCAACTGCTGAGTGCGTCCACTCGCGGCTGCAGGAGGGGAAGGGCGGGGCTTCCGGGAGTGGAGGGCTTCAAGGGCGGGGCACTCTAATAAAGTGTATCCTTCTGGGACTAGTGCGGGCGTAGCTATTGGGATTGGGCCAGGGTTTTCAGGAGGCGGGACTTCACGGAGTCAGATTTAAGCTAAAATCTGAATATAGCATTTGTCGGCAGCTCGAAGTTGTGTTGCTGTTTCTTTAAAGAACCAGAAAGCTCGCTATTCCTTGATCGATCCTCCCACGCTGCGAAGTCCCGCGGAATGCGCAAGCGCTACTTTCCTGGGGTGGGAAAGCCCAGTTAGCTCGGCCCACTGCTGCACTCAGATACTCGCTTCTCCACCCAACGTCTGAGCACTGGGAACACAGAGGGAGTGCAGACCAGGCTGGCAGAGAGAGCTATCAAGAAGCCCCCTTTCAGTCTTTAACCTTTTCTAGTTCTAAGAAGCTCTCCTCAGTGCCTTCTTCCTCTCTTCTCAACCACCCCCTAAATAGAATATAAGAAATGTTAGAACTCCATGCAGTCTCACTGGGCTGTTGGTTCAGCGGAATTTGCGGACAAAGATGGTCGGCTGACTGTGACTGGATGTTTGCTGAGGTTTCAACGCCAAAAGGCTCAGGGCTGAGGACCTTAGAGGCTTAGGAGGCTCCCAAAGGTGCCACTGGAGCCCACTCCTCTCTCTAGCTCTCTCTCTCTCCCACAAGGTATTGGGAGCTGGGAAGAGTTTTCTTCCACCCAAAGCTAAATGAATATTGATGTTGATCCCCAGGCATTTTTAACTCTGGAGGCCGAGAGGGTTTGGGCAGAAAGCAAGGATTTAGGGATCTCGCTTGCGCGCTGGTACACGCCTGTAATCCCTCGAAGGCTGAGGCAGGAGGACCGCAAATTCAAAGCCAGCTTCAGCAACTTAGTGAGGCCCTAAGCAATTCAGCGAGGCCATGTCTCAAAATAAAACATGAAAAGGGCTGGGGATGGGGCTCAGTGATTAAGCGCCCCTGGGTTCCAATCCCGGTACCCCCCAACCTCCCAAAAAAGGACCCCCTCTTCACTCCCCACCCTAGCTGTATCAGCAAGTATGGAGGCAGTGGGCCTGAGCTTGGTGTGTATTCAGCAATCATTGTGCTCAATTATCAAAGTGCTGTTGCCAAAAATATTGCAAGCTGTTCCCTGAAATTCCACAAATGTAAGAATGTGAGAAACTGAGGTGCAGCTTTCAACCTCAGGACTGCATAGGCTCCGGGGTACTGTTTTCAAATAAAAAAAAAAAAAAAGAACTTTTCTCCTTACTCCAACAGCAGAATCATCTGAGAGGGTTTGGACATTTTATTACTCACGTACTGGGGAGGGTGGAAAGCAGGACAGGATAAAATAGAGGGCTGCAGCAGGCTACAAGCAAGGAGAATATATAATATGGTTGCCTGCCTACTGCACAGATGGATTTCTTCAGATGTTTTATAAGTACATTCTTTTAAAAAATATATATTTATTTTTTAATTATAGGTGTACACAATATCTATTTTTTTTAATTTTTATGTGGTGCTGAGACTTGAACCCAGTGCCTCACACATTTGAGGCAAGTGTTCTACCTCTGAACCACAACCCCAGCCCCTAAGAGTACATTCTTTTACCTTACAACCAAGGTCACTCTGCTTTGATCCTCACCTAAAGATTGGAGACAAGGGGAGTGCCCAGTTTCCCGTCTCCATTTCCTTCCTTTTAGCACTGTTTAAAGTCCTTCATTCCTAGGCACTGATTATGTTTACCCCAACAGCAGCATTGTATATTTGAAAACGCCCTGAGAGGGGAAGCACCTAGATACTGCTTTGAGGAATGAGGGGTCAGAGGAAGGAGCAGTGTCTATAAGGAAGTGCCAGCCAGGGTGCAGTGTGACATGGAAATTCCCAGGTCCTTGGGAAGAAGGGTTCCAGCTGACATCAGCTACTTGTTCTGCGTGGCTGGAGGGAACCCTGCCAGTAGGGAGAAGAGCTGAGAAGATACCACTTGTCAGTGCCCCTTAACAGCCAGAGCCATTCCCCAATGGTGGTAATAGAAGATAACATTGAAAAGGGCCAGTGCCGTAAAAAAATCTAGAGAGAGGCCATGAGACAAGAAAACATGAATCCCTTACCTCACTGCTGACTAATCACCACAGATCTCTGAGGACAGACAGGCTCAGGGGCCAACATAAGTGGGACCACCTACTCTGACCCTCTTGTCCACTTAATTTTTCCTCTTTCATCATTGAAAACTCCCTTCTTGTCCCAAACTTTTTCCCAGCTGGAGACCCAAATCTTGCCTGTAGTGACATAGCTAATATGGAAAAAATGAGCCAAGTACCTCTCTCCAACAGACCCTGTCTTGGAGTGGTAACTACCTGGACAGATCCCAAAAGATGGGTACTCTCCAGGCTAGGCAAGACAACTGCACACTGGGCAAGTCTTTGTGTCTTTTTGAGCTTCCATTTACTTGTGTATAAAATGGAAAATAATCATTCCTGCTGTTCTTGTTATAAATCCAAGGTATGTTGTTGTTTTTCTGTGCCTAACACAACAACCATGCACACCCACACATAGAAGCTGCCAGTTGCTTATTTTGTTTTCTGTCATTTAGGCTGTAAGCCCACAGGGCAAGACTCTTTTGTCCCTTGTACCATAGTTGTTGCTGAGTAAATGTCATCAATAATAAGAATATTGGGAGCATATTGCAGCAACTGCTCCTGTGTTTTCCAGACACTGTTCACCAGCCAGGCCCCATTTGGCCCCCAGGGTGAGGTTGGGGAGGCACAGCTAAAGATTGAGTGCATCAGTAACAATGCCATTTAGCTGCTGGATACAGACAGCCTCAAACAGAACTAATCCATCCATTCATTATTCACTAACTGTGTACAGGGACCTACTGTGTACCAGGTGCTATAAATACTGTGGAAGAAATCAAACATGGATGCTTTCGCTATAGAGCTATGGTCCAGTGGCCCATGACCATTGGCCCTTGCTAAAGGTTAAAGCAATTGTTAGTATGATTTCTTCTTTCAGACTCTTGCTTCTGTTGACTCAGATCCCTAGTTTAGTGTTTACCTGCCCAAGTTTCCCTTCTGTTTGAGATCCTGAGATTCTTGTACATTTTCAGAATTTCTCATCAAATCTTAGGGTCCTGAGAGCATGATTCTGGGCCTCTGCAAAACTCTGCCCAGTTTGATGAGTTACAGTTCCATTGTTAGGAGGATCAACATCATTATTCATCCTTTCACCATCCCCTCCCCGTTACACACCCACACACACACACACACACACACACACACACACTAGAGCTGGGCAAGTACGCTAGCATCAAGCACTGGCCCCCTCTTTCACACACAGGGTGAACTCTGTCCTGGAAAGCTTTGCTTTACCTTTATGACTATTGATTCATAATCATTTCTTCCAGCCTTAAATTTGTACCCAGAGTTTTCACAGTGTGGCCTTTAACAAGTCACTTTCAGTGATACCAATTCCTGTTTATAAAGTGAGGATTAAATCAAAGTATTTTGGTTAGTGTAAGGTTGTGGGGAAGGTGAGAGGTTATCTACAGGACAGGTTTGGAGATCTCACAGGAAAGCCTAAGGGCTGCTAGAGAAGCCAAGTGGCAGAAACCAATGGACAATGTCTTCACAGCAAGGCCACAGGGATAAGTCAGCTTCAACCTCTTCAGTCCTTGTACTTGACCATTTAGAATTCCTCTTCCCAGCAGTCTGATTGACTTGACCTGGTGCCTAGGAAAGGGTGGTCCATCTTGATTGACAATTGACAATTCCAAAAATCCCTGTGTAATATGTAATAATTCTCCAAGTGAAAATCACGGATATGGTTCCTGTGGGGAGCAAAATCCATAATTGGCCCTAAGAGGGGCTAGACTCTTCAATCTATTGAGGACGTTTCCAGTTCCAGAATTCTGACATATTCTGAAGCAATGATTTTCAAATATTAAAGATGCCAGGGCTAAGCATGTAGCCCTGAGATGTTGCCCTGATTTTTTCCCCCCAATGCTGGAGATGGAACCTAGGTCCTCATCCATGCTGGGCAAAGGCTTTACCACTGAGCTAATCCCTCAGCCCCCAGGTGAAACCTTATTTATTTATTTATTTTTGGTGCTAGGGATCAAACCTAGGGGATTCACATCCCCAGCCCTTCTTTTTTGAGGCAGGGTCTCACTAAGTTGCTTGGGGCCTCATTAAGTTACTTATGCTGGCTTTGAACTCTTCCTGCCTCAGTCTCCCAAACCACTGGAATTACAGGAATGCACCACTGCACCTGGCCTCACACTAAGCATTTTAAATTAGTATGTTATGGGGCTAGAGATGTGACTCAGTGGTTAAGGCTTACCTAACATACGTGACATACTGGGTTCAATCTCTAGTACTGAAAAATAAAAACATAAATTAGAGCCAGGTGTGGTGACTCAGGAGGTAGGAAGATTGCACATTGAGGTGACTCAGCAAATTAGCAAGGCACTAAGCAATTTAGTGAGAACCTGTCCCAAAATATAAAAGGAGCTGGCAATGAGGCTCAGTGGTTAAGTTCAATCTCAAGTACAAAAAAATAAAAATACCTCTTCACATAAATATTATCATTTGAACACCAAAATAACCATCTGATGTAGATTTTTTTTTCTTTTTATATCAGGGACTGAATCCAGGGTGGTGCTTAACCACTAAGCCACATCTCCAGCCCTTTTTATTTTTTACTTTGAGACAGTCTAAGTTGCTTCAGGCCTCACTAAATTGCTGAGGCTGGCTTTGAACTTGCAATCCTCCTGCCTCAGCCTCCAGAGCTGCTGGGATTACAGGCATACACCACTGCACCTAACCAAGGTAGATATTTCTATTCCTATCTCAAATAACATGATATATCAACAGCAGGCCCAGTTATTCTCCTTCCAAATCTCAACTCACTGCTCCATAAACCCCTAGGCTTCATCTACCCTTCTCCCTTTCCTGGAAAAAAATACAAGAGCCAGTCCAGATACCAGATACTGCAGAACTTTCCTTCCCCATGAAGAAGTTTTTTTTTTTTTTCTTTCCAGCGCTGGGGATCAAACCCAGGACCTTGCATGTGTTAGGCAAGTGCTCTACCACTGACATCAAGAATGGGGGTGGGGGGCTGGAGATATAGCTCAGTTGGTAGGGTGTTTGCCTTGCACCCTGGGTTCAAACACCAGCACCCCACCCACCCACAAAGAAAGGGGGTGGGGGAGCAGGAGACACATCATCATCTTTCATTATGGGTACATGGTCAGTGTCACACATGTGACAGATTAGCAGACCTGAGATCAGAGGTACATCTGAGACCAGATGTGAAAGGAGAGTTTAAAAAAAAAGGAATGTTCTGAGAACTGGCAAGACATCTCCAAAGAGTAAAGCAAAGCAACAAAATAACAGAAACCAGAACACCCGAGGGATCAGAGGTAGGGGATTGCATGGAAAGAAACATCTGGAAACATCCACCTGTGTCCCTGTGTCTGGGTGGAAACAGACTTACACAGGGAAGGGGTCCTTAGGAAGGAGCTGCTCAGCAGCTGTGCAGTGTAACCTCTCCAGCTCAGATGAACAGCAGTCTCCTTCTTTCTAAGACATCATGCCAGGTGAGGCTTTAACAGCCCTCTCGGCTGCCAGTCTTGCCCTTAGGGACAGTTTCGGAGTGACTGATCCTAGTGATGGGGAGTCTCAAACCAGATTCTTTTTCTCCTAAACCTGGGCCTATGGGTGTGGAAAGGATTTGGATTTTGGTCTGAGTCCCACCAGTACAGCTCATCCTTAAGGCTCCTCTTAGACCCTCAGTTTCCTGTTACATACCACAGGGATTCAAGTCTTGACAAAGATCTCCTAATGAATAAGATCATACCTAAAAAGTGTTTACTCAACACAAAGCTTGACACACAAAGGGTGTGCAAGAAGTAGCAGCAGGTCAAAACAGGTAACTGATCTGTTTTGACCATTGGCATCTTGATCAGCTGGTAAGTATGTCCCTGGCAACTGGTAATAGTTGAATTATCAAAGTTCACAATTTTCAGCAATCATATCACATATGCATGCAACTTACACAACTTCAACTATGCACACTCAGGAAAAACAGGTGAGGATCATCCCCTGATGAGTACCTAAGCCTGAATGAGTTCAGCCCCTCATGCCTGACTATAGGCCATGGAGTATGACGCAGGCTCACCAGGCATGGTGGCACACACTTATAATCCCAGTTACTACTTGGGAAGCTGAGGCAGGAGGATCAAGGTCAGCCTTAGGAACTTAGCAAGACCCTATCTCAAGATGAAAAGGGCTGGGGATATAGCACAGTGGTAAAGCACCCGAGTCTAATTCCCAGTACTGCAAAAACTAAACAGAACAAACAGCAAACAAGATCCTTCTTGGCACTCAGATGCATCTTCCTCAAACAGAAGAGGTAGTTTCAATGCCAAATACAGACAAGGGAGTGTCAAGCACAGGGTGTGCACTTACAGTTGGAAAGCTTATTGGCAAACAGCCTTAACCTCTGGTACCTCACAGTCCCTTGTTTATTCAGCTCTCAAGTCTGTAACTCTTGCCCTCTTTAATATCCCCTCACTCACTTGTTCTGTCACTTGGAATGCCCTTGACTTCAATTTCTGCTAAAATCTTCAAGTTCTTTCAAAATCTACTCAAGCTTCCCTGATGCCTTTCTCCTACTGCTGCCAGGCACTGAACTCTGAAGCTGGGCAGAAAGGGGAAATGCCAAGAGATAGCAAAGCCATTTACGTCCATGCTTTCTCTCTAGCTTTGATATCCCAGCAGCCAGGTCACTCAAACATACATCTCCCATCAGGCCTTCCATTCAGTGGCTGGCCCTTTGAACAGTCTGGTTACCCTCCCTAGATATGTTCTTTCTTCTATTTGATTTCCAAGAACCCATAAGTGCTCATTTAGGCAAACAGGAGGAACCCAATTCCCCACACACCTTCCTGTGATTCAAATCATGATGAGGTCTTTGGTGGGGGAGGGTTTTAGGAAAGCCACCCGAGTCACCATTCTCATCTACAAAATTAGCTAAAAATATTACTAAGATTGTTGTGCCCCTGGCACACTAGTGTCAATAAGTAATAGCCCCCTCATGGTACACTGGATCAATCCAAAGAAAAGTGGAAATGGGGAAGAAAAAAATACAAACAGGCGCGCACACGCACACACACATACACACAGGAAAATGCAAACAGTGATTACAATTATAAATGGGTTAAATTCTCCAATTAAATGACAGTCTCAGATTTGGTTACAGAAACAGATTATTTATAAGACACATCTGAAAAGAGAGTTCCCTGGGGGGTGGGGGGGAGGGAGGGAGAAGAGTCCCCTCTTTACCAATCCTTTGAAGTCTAAGAACCTGCCTGCAGCCCTTAGCATCCCACAGAGTCAAACCCTGGTCTTCTCAATCTTCACCAGTACATGACAATAACCTCTACTTCAAGGCCTACAGTACTGGCAGTAGATTATATGATAAAGGCTCAAAATCCTTTTAGGCACCAAAATTTTATTTACCCACCTTCCTGCTTTCTTTTAACATTCGAAACAATATATAAACATCATAAACCAAAATTAATCTTTTTAACCCAGGGTTGTGGTACGAACTATCATGTTACAAAGTGGTGGCAGATTTACGCCTATTTGTGTTTTTCTGGCCTCTCTCAATCTCTGGCTGTGATTTCTCTTGTCCTTTCTTGGCTGTCTTTTAACAGTCTATTCTAACCCCTGTGAAATAGGGGTTCTGAGGTTTGAGAAGACCCACCATGAAGTAAATGAAGCTCTCGGGAAGATTCAAACTCCACAGTTCTTCTTTGTCCTTTGATATGGCTCCTTTTTATCTGTCATAGGCTGAAAAACCAGTGAACTGGTAAACGAAGCACAGAGATCTTAGTTCACAGACCAGGTGAGGCCTGTATAAAGTGCATGGGCTTTGTGACCACCACTACCAACTTCCCCTCTAAGAAAGCACTGACTAATGAGCAGTACCACAACCCCTAAGCTCAAGGTTCCCTGTGGATATCTGCCCTGTATCTGCATCTTGACCAGGGTCTCTCAATTCCCCTTGGCACAGTTGGAACAATGAGGGATGCAGCACAGGCCAAAGACTGAGTGCCCAGCCCCAGTGAATTGATGGGGGACATTGACAAAGTAATTGCAAAGATGGTGCCATTTGTCTTGGAGAAGTGGGGCCTGGACAGGGATAGCAGCTGGAAGGTGACAGGCAGTCCTGGCTCAGTAGCGGTAGTGATCAGGCTTGAAGGGGCCATCACGGGACATGCCCAGGTACTGGGCCTGCTTTTCAGTCAGCTTGGTCAGTTTCACATTAAGTTTGCTCAGGTGGGCTTCGGCCACTGCTTCATCCAGCTAGGGAAAAACAAAGAAAAACCTGGAATTAGTGCCATGTTCAGGGACCCTGCACTTGTATCCAGCTACCAAGAAAGGCAGAAACTGTTCAGTTGGGGTATCTGCCAACTGAACACATTATACCTCATTCTATTCTCACAGCCAGCCTCAGTGGGTGTGTTGTTTTGGCTGCACATCTCCCCACCAAGTAGTCCCAGTGGGACCACTGATTATATCTCCTTCCTCATCTTCCACCAATTTAAGCAGCTAACTATAATGCTTCTCTGGAATTTGTCGTCAGTCCAGGACATATTTTCCATGACAGATAGAGTCAGGGGATTCTGTTTACACTGGGATTCCTAAACAGAGAAGGGTAATCAATCTCAGTTCACCAGTAGCAAGTCTACTTGACAAGTGAAATGAATGTAGAGAAATCAAGAGTCAAGACACAGAGAAAAACAGAACTATGGAGCTAGAGTGTCACTCAGTGGTAGAACACATGCTCAGCGTGTACAAGGCCCTGGGTTCAATTCCCAGCAACCCCCATACCCAAAACAATCAGAGATATGATGACACTGAATCTTGAATCCAGTGTGTGGATCTTAGACCCACCATACTGCCCAAACACTCCTTTTTCCTCATTAAACGGTTTCCTTTTTTGATTAAAATATATCCATATGTGCAAGACCTAGAATTCAAACCCCAGAACAACAAAAATAAATAAATGAATTAATAAACAAATAACTAAATATATTCATACATTCTTTGATACTCCTTCCTTCAAGAGGAAGAACCTGAGAGCAGAGTGCTTGCCTAGTATGCATGAGGCACTGGATTCAATTCTCAGCACCACATATAAACAAGAAAATAAAATAAAGGTCCATCAACAACTAAAAAAAAAAAAAAAAAGAGGAAGAACCTAACCAGGCATGTTGATTCACACTGTAATCCCAGCTACTTGGGAGGCTGAAGCAGGAGGATGGCAAGTTTGTGGCCAGCCAGGGCAACACAATAAGACCTTGTCTCAAAAAAAAAAAGAAGAAGAAGAAGAAGAAGAAAGAAAGAAAGAAAGAGAGAGAAAAAAGAGATCCTAATTCTCTATCCCTTGAATGACTCAATTCAAATGAACAGAATAAAGCAGAAGTAATGAGTATGACTCTGGAGACAAGGTATAAAAAGCAATGTGACTTCCTCCTTGCTCTCCCCTGGGTCACTCACTCAGGGAAGCCAGCTGCCATCTCATGAGGACATGCAAACAGCTCTATGAAGAGACATAGGAGAGAGAAACTGAGATCTCCCATCAACAGTGATGTGAAGGCAGATTTTTCAACCCAGTCAAGTCTTCAGATGTTTGCAGCCCTGGCAGAAATCTTAATTGCAACCTCTTGAAAATGATCTTCGGTCAAAACCAGAGAGCTAAGCTGATCTCAAACTCCTACCCACAGAAGCAGAAATAAATGTTTATTGTTTTGTTTTGTGAGACAGCACCTAACTATGTTGCCCAGGTTCAAGCAATCCTGCCTTCAGCTTCCCAAGTAACTGGGACTAAAGGTGCATGCCATGCACCTAGCTAAATGTTTACTGTTTTAAGCCAGTAAGTTTTGAGGTCAAATGCTTGTAGCAATAGATAAACACCCTGATTTGAACCAATTTCTATTACTGGCTACCAAAAGGATCCTAACTAATAAAACTGCCATCCTAACCAGGCATGGTGTTGTACACCTGTAATCCCAGTGACTCGGGAGACTGAGGAAGGAGAATCACAAGTTTGAGACCAATATCAGCAAATTAGTGAGCCCCTAAGCAACTTAGTGAGACCCTGAATCAAAATAAAAAATAAAAAGAGCTGGAGATATGGCTTAGTAGTAAAGCACTCCTGGGCTCAATCCCCAGTACCAAAAACACAAAACAAAACAAAAAACCAAAACCCTGCCACCTCTTTTTACAAATGAGAACGTCAAGGTTATAAAAGATGAAATGACTCACCCAAAGTCACACAGCTAGTGAATGACAAAGCTAGGATTTGAACATTTGGGAGCCACCTGGCTCCCAAAATGTGTATTAAGCATCTGAGCTAGAGCCTCCAGGGCAGTTTTGAAGAGATGGAGCAGAAACCAAGGGGGATGGAGGCTGGAGTTATATAAGGCAAACCTCTAACTTTGACCAGTGCCAAAATGCATGAAAGGAGCCTGAAAAGAAGGTCAAGATGCTGTAGTTAAGAGAAGGGTCAATTCTGAGTGTGGCTGTCACTTTTCTCAGCTTCTAGCTCTGGGTGGGACCTCTCTCTTCCCCGAGGGCCCCAAGTCCCATCCCAAGATGGCACCACAACCTCTAATCACAGCCCAGCTCAGAAAGCTTTTACACTCCCAAGTGGTTTCACATCTACTATTTCACTGGAGTCTCACAAACATCCCTAAGAAGCAGGAAGGGCAGGGTTTATACTGGTTTTTAACAGAAGAAGAAACTTAAGCCTAGAGAAAGTACTCTGAGTACCAACTAAATCATCCCTTTACTCGCCCCAGCCTAGCTCAGGATGATTTCATTTTCCCAGCAACCACATCAGAAGGCAAGTGTGCCACAATGGTTAAACAGACCCTACAACAAGCCTAAGGACCTGGCAGGCTGCACACAACAGGGTAACTTAAGGTCCTTCTGGGTAAAACATTTGGTACAGTAGAACAGTGGCTCAGGGACATGAAGGGGAAAGAGTTGGCTGGTCCAGAGGGTACATGCTCCAGGCCAAGTAGATATTCTTCCTCAGTTGTCAGAACCAAGGGGTAGAAGGGTGGTATCAAGATCTATCACAGCCTCTCCAGCAGCCAAAGGCTGGAAGAACAAGAGCTACTCTTACTGGTTACCCAATAAGGAACCTGAGGATCAGAAAGGGTAAGCCACTCTGGATGTACTATAAGGAGTCACTCCCCACAGATTCCTCTGGGCCTCAGTGGGCCTGTTTCCTCTTTTGTCACATGGGGAGAATAATTTTAGCACTGTATAGAACCCTGTGGGGACCTCTAAGAGGGAAGGCAGACACTTTCCTTATAAATTCTAGCAAGTTCTGTGTGGGAAGCCCAGGATCAAACACATGACCCCTGGCTTGAGATGGAGGCAAGAACTCACCTTCTTAGGCAGGAAGTGAACCCCAACAGGGTACTTGTCTGAGTGGGTCCACAGCTCAATCTGTGCCAGCACCTGGTTGGTGAAGGAGTTGCTCATCACAAAGCTAGGGTGGCCCATGGCACAACCCAGGTTGACCAGCCGGCCCTCAGCAAGCAGGATGATGCGGCGCCCATTCTTCAGCCAGTAGCGGTCCACCTGCAGGTCACCAGGGCAACAGTGAGGGCTGGTGGGACACTGCCCAGTCTACCCCTGCCTCCCACCGCACCTAGCAGGGGCCTGGAATGCACCAGAACAACTTCCACACAAGGCTGGCACACACAGTGAATAACTAATAGCCAATAACCTTACAGATCTGCTATGAGAATTTAGTAAGCTGCTACCTGTATAGCACTTGGCTTTACACGAGGCACCGAGTAAATGCAGCTAATATATGCCAGATACCCTGTACTAAGTCCTTTACATGTAACTACGACACGCCCTCCTAAAACAACACTATGATTTAAGAACTACTATAATTTCCCTTTCATAGACAAAGAAACTGAAGTTTACAAGTGCCACCTGTCAGCCTTGTCAGCCTGAGGACGTATCCCAGCTTTCAACCACCATTAGAAAGTTGAATGCAACTTAGAAAAGCTTAGTAAAGCTGAGTGCAAGGACACTCAGCTTGAGCTGCATGTTGGAATCACATTGGGAACCTTAAAAATGGGGATGCCGGGCTCTACTCCCAGATTCCAGGCCACAGGGTGTGTGTGTGTGTGTGTGTGTGTGTGTGTGTGTGTATGTGTGTCTGTCTGTCTGCAGAGGTCAAGAACTCCTGCTTCAGTAAATGAAAGAGGAGAAATTCCCAGTCTCAGTGCCCTCAATCTTCCACTTCTTCCAGGTATCTAAACACACAAAAATTTGCTTTCTCCCTCCTCATGGTACAGCAGTGGAGGTAAAGCCAGTGACCTAACTGCAACAAAATGGGTGCTGCACAATGGGGCTGTACAGAGCACAGGGGGACTGCCCACCACCCAAGGAGCTGGCTAGGAAGTGAGTCCCTTGAGCTGGAGCTTAGAGAATGGCAAGGAAAAGGGCACTCCTCTGCTCCAAACAAAAGAAGCTGGCTAAAAAGGTAACCAGAAACAGGAGTGTGGTGCAATATTCAGGAAGAAGGGTCCAAGATGGCCTGAGCGTACAGGTTCTTAAGAGATGAAGTTGGGAAGGAGGCTGACAAACTGCAGGAATTCTGAGAGTGAGGACAGAGCCCAGCTTTGGAGGAGATCTTAGAGAAGAGAGATCCATCACCCTGAAGTAAGCCTGTGATACCTTTGTAGAACATCTTTCTGGCTGCCAGGGAAGCAAGCCCCGCTGTGGCACCAGGCACTCTCAGCAGAAAGAAGGAGGCACCCTCCACCTAGCCAGGAACTGACACTGCAGGCTAGCACAGGACCTACCCAAGGAGACCTCCCACAGGCAGAGGGCCCAGGAGTAGGGTGGGGCATGTGTGTGTGGTATGTCCATGGAGGCTTGCCTGCCCCCCAGAGGCTCTAGGCTCCTGGCTGGTCCCATGGTGTGGCTCTGACTGGGCAGTCTTAGGGCTTTGGTCAACTCTGTGTCTACACGTTCTGTACAACATCTCAAAGATGAGGCACTAACTCAAAGAACCCCACAAGCAGGCTTTCTCCTCTTAAAACTTAAAAAAAAAAAAAAAATTTTTTTAAATGATCTCCAGGTGTGGTGGGGCAGGCCTGTCATCTCAGCAACTTGGGAGGCTGAGGCAGGAGGATCACAAATTCCAGGCCATGCTCAGCAATTTTGTGAGGCCCTCAGCAATTTAGAGACCCTGTATCAAAATAAAAAACAAAAAGGGCTAGGGATATAGCTCAGTGGTAAAGAGTCCCTGGGTTTAACCTCTGGTACAAAAAAAAAAAAAAAAAAAAAGATCAACAACTTGTATATACTCAAGGATTAATTACTAGGAGAGATAGCTCAGAGTTTGCTTAAGGGAAGGGAGTATGGCTCAGTGGCAGAGTGTGTGCTTATCACACACAAGGCCCTAGGTCCAATCCCATATACACACATAAATATAAGCCAAATAATATTTCACACACCCCAAAGGAACTCATCTCTCGATGGCCCACTGCAAACCTGTCCTTTGACCAGTAAGCAGCCCACTTTTCACACAGCTGTTCCAGCCAGACTTCAGTCCATCATCCCCAACACTCTCCAAGAGTAAGCAGCCCACTTTTCACACAGCTGTTCCAGCCAGAAACCCAGCATCCTTTTCAAATTCTTCCCCTTGTCTGACTCCAGTCCGTCATCCCCAACACTCTCTTAGAGTGCTGGTTGCCAACACCTCTGCAGGGTTTTGAGAGCACCCTCTCAAAGCCTCCCCTGCCCCCATGCCAGTTTCCATGCTCCACACAGTAGCAGCATGAGACAGCAACCTCATAATGTACACAGTTCACCTACCTAATATGGTTAGGGATTCTGGCTGCCTTCAGGATCAAATCTGCCATCTCAGTACTAGCTCTGAAACCAGGCTCTTTCCCACACCCCTGCTGGCAACAGCTCTTCCTGCGGGGCAGCCCAAAGCAGGTGGGCTCAGTCCTCCACTGCAGGTGCCGGCAGAGCTAGGGCCTCTCACCTGGGGCTTGATGTTCACCTTCTCCACAGCATTCTCATTGAGCCACTTCACATCAATTTCCACATCAAAGTGCCCAATGTTACACACGATGGCATCATCCTTCATCTGCTCAAAGTGCCTGTCAGGGAGCCCAAGCCCACAGGAGACCATCAGAGACAAAGAGCAGTCACAAGTCTACACCCCTCCTTTGCTCCCCAGGATGCCCACTGGCACCTACCGGCCCAAGATGATGTCCACACAGCCTGTGGTAGTGACAAAGATGTTGCCCTCCTTGCAAGCCTCGTCCATGGTAGTCACCTCATACCCTGTGGAGACAGTAGCCATGGGTTATCCAGGAGGGGCTTGTCTCTCCCCTGGCCCCAGTGTCGACCCCACCTTATCATACCTTCCATGGCAGCCTGTAGCGCATTGATAGGGTCAATCTCGGTAATGATGACACGAGCCCCAAAGCCCCTCAGGGCCTGGGCACAGCCCTTGCCCACGTCACCATAGCCGGCTACTACTGCCACCTTGCCCGCAATCATCACATCCGTGGCCCGTTTGATGCCATCTATGAGGGACTCCCGGCAGCCATAGAGGTTGTCAAATTTACTCTGAAAAGAGAGAGGACAGGGATGATGGGGACAAACAAGGTCTTGGGGCTAGGCTTCAGAATTGTTCCATAGGGCCCCAAGCCTCAGGCCCACTCAGCAACTCGGCCTGGCTGAACCCCTCTGGGACTCCCCCCGACCATCCAATGCCCAACATGCCCCTCACCCTAATCAGCTCCAAGACCTTCTCCCTAGTCTTTCCTGCTGGTCCAGAAGCCTTCTAGGCATCAATCACTAGGAGAGACTGCTGGATCAAAGAACTGGGTTAATTTTAAAGCTCGTGACAGCCAAAGACAATGCTCTTGAAACCCAGGTCTGAGGCCCACTGTGCAGTTTTTTCCTTCTTTAATGTACTTGTTACCCTTGGTCTATACCCCTTTTCCCCTCAGATGATGGCTTCATGTCCCTGGTCTGCAGCCTTCCTGGGTAGGCTTCTTCAGGAAGATGATAACATGGGTCTGAAAATCCCTCAGGGTCTGGGAACAGCCCTTGCCCATGTCTCTATAGCCTGCTACCACTGCGCACAATCATCACATCTGTAGCTCACTTGATGCCATCTGTGAAGGACTCTCTAAGCTGGAGCTGGCACTGCCCCAAGGACTCACCTTGGTAACAGAGTCATTGACATTGATGGCCGGAACCTTCAGTATCCCATTGGCCATCATCTTATATAGATTGTGGACCCCAGTTGTGGTCTCCTCAGAGATGCCTCGGATGCCTGAACAAAAGGGAAAGAATGTCAGAGACAGCTCTGATTCACCTAAATTCCCCATCTTTATCCCATAATGCCATTCGTCTTTCAGGGTTCCCAGCTCCGTGACTGACAGTACACTCCACCCAATCACCCAGGCCAACATAAGGGAGGAGCCACGAGATGCCCTCCTACAAGGAATCCATCACCAGGCCAGATGATTCCACCTCCCAGCCTCTCCCAAACTCTCCATTCTCACTGCTATTATCACTTTTTCTTCTTCTGGTTTTATTTATTTATTTTTGGTACCAGGGATTAAACCCAGGAGTGCTTAACCACTGAGCCACATCCCCATCCCTTAAGTTGCTGAAGGTCTCGCTAATTTGTTGAGGCTGGCTTTGATTTTGACAATCCTCCTGCCTCAATCTCCCAGGTCACTAGGATTACAGGCATGTGCCACCACACCCAAATGATTGTGGCTGCCATCATTTCTCACCTAGTCTTCCTGCCACAGTTCATCCTCCATAAAACAGTTGTAGCCACTTTTTTCATGTATATTTTAACAGAAATCTCAAAACCCTCCAATTATTTCCTTTTCCCTCAGGTTTAAGCCAAACTTTCTTATAGCATTTTTAGGTCACACCTGGCCTTCAACTAAAGCTCCACATCGTGGAATATTCCCTAAGGAAGGCTCCCTCCATCCATTGCAGCCATGCTAGCTTCCTATTTACTTAATAGTCATTCCTTTCCTGCCTCAGGGCCTTTGCACTCTCCATATACCACTCCCCAGATACTCTCCTCCCCACCCTGCTTTTAACAAAGCTGGCTCCTTTCCAGCTATTCTCAGTCTTGGCATTATGCCAGCCCTTGGGCTATCAACTCAGCCAGCAACCTCAGCCACCCAGCCCTGAGTCGGCAGAAATCCCAGAGGCCGGGCCCCAGCCTGTCTGCCTGCAAGAGTCTCATGTCCTCCTGTCTTCCACAGAATCTGGGCATTTTTCCAGGCCTCGGGCACCCAGCCCACCCCCTGGCCCTGCTCACCTGACAGAAGCTGTGGGTACTTTGTGTGGATGAGGTTAGTAAGGTCTCCACCGTCGTCCAGAATCATATTGAGGGGCCCATCCTTGAAGTACAGTGTCTGCTCGATGCACCACAGGTACTCTTCGTCTGTTTCACCCTTCCAGGCATACACTGGAGGGTGAGTGGCACATCAGGGCCTGACCTTCCCCATCGGCACCTCTGCTCAAGGGAATTGCCCAGGCAGGCCAATGCTACCTCCTTCCTAATTTCCATGCCCAGCCACTTCCAGCCCTGAGAACCCAGCAGGGGTACAAACACAACTTGGAACCAGAGAGATCTAAGTTCAAATCCTAGCTCTGCCGCTTACCAGCTATATAACCTTGAGCTAATCACCTCACTTCTCTGAGCTTCAGTTTCTTCCTCTGTATATGGGGCTCACAACAGTACAGATTAAATGAGACAGAGGCCAAGTATAGCCCCACAGGTACAAGTATGTGGAAATTGTTCCTTTCTCATCCCCTTCTGCCTAAGCCCCAAGGACTGGGGTATCAACCCACACAGACCAGAGCTCCCACCCATAGTGAGACCTCCTACTCAGTGGAAACCACATGGCTGGATCCAGACATTGTTCTGTTCTGAAAGGTCTTAAGGGCACAGCAGCCTCTGTGGTGGGTAGTCTCAGGCAATGTCTGGCCAAAAAATTACTAATAGCAGCTACTACAAATGAAGCACTTTCTCTGTGCCAGACATTACTCTATCGCTTTATACTGCATCTCATTTTTCCTTATAGAAGCCCTGCGGGGCAGGCGTTACCACTGTCACCACTTACACCCAGAGAGAGCCTAAGATGTACCTGTATCATGTAGCATGGTATCCCAGAGAGGCACAGAACCCAGAGCTATTGAGGGCCAGCTGTGCTCCTCCCATCATATGGAGTAACAAGGACATAGGTGTGGGGTTCCCAGGAAATTACTGTGAGCAAAGGACATAGGCCAAGCAGGGCTGGCTGCCTTTCCCCACAAGTAGAGAATATAATGGTCTTGAAAATAAGGCCTTTCATGGGGTCATGGAACCCAGCCAAGGCTGAGGCCTGTGGGACATGCCCATTTAATCCCAGTCAGTCTATGAAGAAGCCCTCTTCATCTCATCTGTGGCTAATCAGAAGGAATCTTGAATGTCCTACTTAATCACCATCAGATCTAACTACTCCCTCCTCTTAGTGCAGACATGTGCCCTTCTCCAGCAGTTCATGAGAAAGTCCTTCTTCTTTAGTCCTGGTCCTTCCTAGCCCCTTACACTACCATATCTCTGCAGTGGACCTCTGGGCTCTTTTTCTGCCCTCTCCCTCCCCAGTTCTTTGGAAACAAATCCACATCCTTCCTTTAAGGAACTTCTCTTCCTCTATATCATGTGGCTCCCAATCATAAGATCCTGCCCATCCTAGTCACAGGCTTGAGATGGCTCAATAAGCACTTCTCCAGGATTTTAGATGATAGTAAAACAAAGCAGCTCTTTCCTATGGGTCACCAGGCTATGATCCTCTGCCCTGCTGTAAGAAGCCTGTTGCTCTAGGGGTCAATGAAGCAAACAGGGAGAAGAGGAGTCCGTTCATGCATTCCCATATGCCCCAGGAGCAAGTAGGCCTCACCTGGAATGCCAGCCTTGGCAATGGCAGCTGCTGCATGGTCCTGAGTGGAGAAGATGTTACAGCTAGACCACCGCACCTAGAAGGGTCGGCAAAACAAGGCTGTAGGTCACTAATGGTCAGAAGCACCAGGGTCATGGGCAGGGAGAAGGAAAAGCCCTGGTTCTAGGTGTGAGAGGCTGGGGACCACAGTCCAGCCAGTGCCACAACCACACACTGGGTGAGTGGATGGGAGCCATAGCAGTGACAAGATGCAGCTCTGATAGAAGGGAAAGGGTTGAAGCAAAGAGACAAGTAAAGAGGCTACTGAAGAAAAGTCCATAGGAAACACAGTGGGAACCCTGGAGGTGATGAGCTGTCATGTGTCCAGGTTTCCTGAACTGAAAGAATCTGGAAGGCTGGTGTTGTCACTTACTGACATGGGGAAGACTCCGGGAAGAGCAGAAGGCTAAAAATCGAGTTTGTTCAAAAATGTTTAATTTGAGATATGTACCTGATTTCCAAGTGGAAAAGACACATTAGAACCAGAAGGTATAAGACTGGAATTCCAGAAGTTCAGCCTAAATACAGGTATTTGGGTGTCATCACCATACAGACAGTATTTAAAGTCATAAAATCCGACCACCAAGACTAAATGTGGCCCAGGATGGTGACGCACACCTGTAATCCCAGCAGCTCAGGAGGCTGAGGCAGGAGGATCGCGAGTTCAAAGTCAGCCTCAGCAACTCAGTGAGACCTTGTCTCTATATAAATTATAAAAAGAGCCAGGGGTGTGACTCAGTGGTTGAATACCCCTGGGTTAAATCCCTGGTACCAAAAAAAAAAAAAAAAGGAAGAAAAACTGTCAATTATTGGTACACATGACCCAGACTGAATCAATCAGAGCACTCCAATCTTCTGGAAAGCATGATTGGTCCAGGGCAGGCACATGACCATAGCAGGGACAATGAAAGGCAGTCCTTAGAATACTAAATAGGACTTTGAGGTTGAGTTTTTCCTACTAGAGATCAAAGCCAGGAAGGTGTGTTGAGCTCGGTCAGAAGCTATCTTTCTGGTCAGAGAGAAAATCTGTAGAACATTCACCACGAGGGTGGCAGCACTGGGAAAGGGAAAACTCAAGTGATAGGGAGGAGAGACCCTGCTGGACCAGAGTTGGCCCCACACCTGGACTTCTCCCCACTCCTGTAGAGTCTTCTTCCCTGGCGGAACCCAGAGAGGGGAAGGGACTCACCCAGGGTCACACAGCAGTGGGTCTTACCTCAGCACCCAGGGCGACAAGAGTCTCAATGAGGACAGCAGTCTCTACTGTCATGTGTAGGCACCCTGCAATGCGGGCGCCCTTCAGTGGCTTGGAGGCCGAGTACATCTCCCGCATGCGCATCAGGCCAGGCATCTCATTCTCTGCAATGTCCAGGGCCTTGCGTCCCCAGGCGGCCAGGCCAATGTCCGCTGCAGGGGCAAGATGAATGGGAGTCCCATAAGCCATCTCCTCCCACCAACCACGAAGCATGAGCACAGTGTAAAGACCCGATCCACATATGGGCCCCAAACCCCTGGGCTTGACTATGTGTCACTGCATTCTCTCATTTAATAACTATGTATGCAACTGGGCAGCCTAAAGAGAAAAACAATGGTACCTGTTTAAGTGCAGCTTATCGTCTTATAGAGAATACATTTAATCAAAGAATCACCCAGGTACACCAAAGTTACAACACAGAAGTACCCCTTCAAAAAAGATCTATCACCTCCCACCACCCTTCCTTTCTACCGTCACCTCCAGGTCACTCATTCCCTAAAAATTTTAGCTCCATTTCCTCTCCACATTATGACTTTTGGTGATTCAACACTCAAATATTATCCAACATCTTGGACTTGACACAGATCCTTGAGCTCCGTGGCAACATGAAAATGCTTCCTCCCCGCTCCTGATGTTTCCACATGGAGGGAATTCATCAGTATAAATAACATTCTCTGTCCCAAGGAAGGTGGATTGGCTTGTCTGATTAATAAATATGAGAGGATGGGCTGGGATCGTGGCTCAGTGATAGACCGCTTGCCTCACATGTGTGAGGCACTAGGTTCAATTCTCAGCACTACATATAAATAAATGAATAAAATAAGGTCCATCAACCCTAAAAAAAAAAAAACTTAAGTCAGCTAAAAAAATAAATGAATGTGAAATGAATAAACTAGGCATGCTCAGTTTGGCTCTCCCTTCTTTTGCAAGCAAGCACCTACCTGCCCACCTGCAGGAATCAGGTATTCTCAGCTCTCTTGACTGTGACTGGTGGGTAAGCAGGGTTCAGTTAGCAGTATCATTTGGCTTTTACACTAAGCTACACCTCTGGCTTTGATGTTATTAGTAATAAATTGTTGAGAGCCACAGCCGAAGGGGCCCCAGCAAACTTCCAGCTGCCAGCAAACTTCCAGCTGCCGGCTGATGATTGGCTCACAGCGGCCCCAGCAACATCTAGCTGATTGGCTCCTCTGCGGTGATGCTCATTGGGCTGTTTCCCTGCCCTTTCAGACCACGGAGCTGCTCATTGGGGGACTTTTTTGGCTCCGCCCACGTGACCTAGCCAATGGGCCTCAAGAGCAGGAGGATTGTGGGAGGTGGGGAGAAGCTTGTGTGGGAGAGAGAGGCTTGTGGAAAGCTGGTGGTGGCAGTTGAGGCTCTGAGGGTTTTCCTGAGAGGCTGTTTTGTTTGGCGTGTGTGGTTCTAAAAATAAAGTTAGTTTCTTTTGACAAGTGGCTCCTAATTGTGCCCAGCCAGACTGCGGCAATAAATAGTTTATTTTGGTCTTTAGCTGACACCTCAAATGTCTCAAATTTTGCCAATTCTCAAGCAGGAAAGGATACTATTATAAGTTCTGTCGCTGTCTCATTGCTTAGGGCCTCACCAAGATGCTAAGGCTGGCCTTGAACTTGCAATCCTCCTGTCTCAGCCTCCCAAGTTGCTGAAATTACAGGTGTGTACCCCTACCCCAGCACTTTTTCTAATTTTATTTTGAGACAGAGTCTTATTAAATTGGCCACCCAGGTTGGCCTTGAACTTGCAATCCTCTTGTCTCAGCCTCCCAAATTGCTGGGATTACAGACCTGCACCAGTGTGCCCAATTGACTCTAGAGAGCTTAATAACAAATAACGAAACTGAATCAGTCTGCATCCTATTGAACCTTTAAACAAGAAGGGTTGCAGGTCTAGTTCAATGGTAGGCACATGCAAGACCCTGGGTTCAATCCCAGCACCAGAATAGTGTCAGAGGTGAAATACTCCACCCCCATGGAAGTCACCACTCCTGCTGCACCTTGACGAGATCCCACTTCCTACCACTCCCCTTGCCCACCCGCCCTGGGAGGACAGACACTGAGGATGATAGCTCTCCCTTGGAAATCTGGATTTCAAGCAACCAACTCTGGTCATGTCCCAACTTTCCAATTCTTTCCCTCTTGCCCCAACTTCAACAAGATGGCAACCAGTCAGGTAAGAACTTCTTCCTTCCCCAGCTTAGGATTTCAATCTCCATCCCTCTGCCCTCTTTCCTCTGAGAACTCACTTGGCAAAACTCCCACCCTGGTTAAACCCAACCCTCTGCTGCACCTAAGCCAGTGACCCAGAAGGAGAATCAACCACACCAAGAGGTCTTATTCACTAAGATCATAAATCTAAAGGGACAAAGCACATTCCAGCAATCATTTAATATTTTCCTAGTAAATTTACTTTTCTTTTCAACTTTTCCCAAACCTCCAACACCTCTCCGCATTAACTAATAACCTCATTTCACAATTCATTAAGAATTCAGGGGGCTGGGGATATAGGTCAGTTGGTAGAGTGCTTGCCTTACATGCACAAGGCCCTGGGTTCAATCCCCAGCACCACCAAAAAAAAAAAAAAAAAAATTGGGGTTGGGGTTGTGGCTCAGTGGTATCTCATCTAGCACATGTGGGGCCCTGGGTTCAATCCTCAGCACCACATTAAAAAACTAACTAAATAAAGGTACTGTGTCCAACTACAACAAAGGAAGGAAGGAAGGGAGGGAGGAAGGAAGGAAGGGAGGGAGGAAGGAAGGGAGGGAGGGAGGAAGGAAGGGAGGGAAGGAGGGAGGGAGGGAGGGAGGGAGGGAGGGAGGGAGGGAGGGAAAAAGAAAGAAAGAATGAATTCAGGATCATGCCACTTTTCCTCCAAGGAATCCACTGCTCTCCTCATTTAGACTTACAGACTAGGCAAGCTTTTCTGTTACAACAGACAAGCTGTCCCTGATCTCCTATCTTCTCTCCTCCTTCAGAACCTCAGTACTCCACTTCTCAATGAGTCTAGTAGCTGGGCACATAATCCCAGCAACTTAGGAAGCTGATGCAGGATGATCCCAAGTTTGAGGCCAGCCTTGGTAACTTAGTGAGCCTCTGTCTCAAAATTTAAAAAAAAAAAAAAGGGCTGGGTTTGTGGCTCAGTGGTAGAGTGCTTGCCTAGCATGCGTGAGGCACTGGGTTCAATCCCCAGCACCACATAAAATAAAGGTATTGTGTCCATCTACAAATACATATATATACATATATATATATATTTTTTTTTAAGATACACACAGGAGATGGACCCCATTGGTTAAATGCCCCTGAGTTCAATCCCCAATACCAAAAAAAAAAAAGTGCCCAAAGACCAGCCTGATCCCCAATCAGGGGACTTTTTTTTTGATACTGAGGATTGAACCTGGGGTGCTTAACCACTGAGCCACATCCCCCATCCTGTTTTACATTTTGTTTAGAGACAGGGTCTCACTGAGTTACTAAGTGCCTTGCTAAGTTGCTGAGGCTGGCTTTGAACTCGCAATCCTCCAGTCTCAGTCTCCAGAGCCTCTGGAGCGGTGGGGATTACAGGCAAGCACCACTGCAATGACTCAGAAATCCAGGCTTTATTGGCTTCTGGTTCTCCTCCTCCTTCCTTCCTGGCTCCTCTTGAACTAACAGACTCAAATATTTGGAAGCCCTCAGGGCTCCAAACATCTCCCTCTTTCTAATTCTTCCCAGGTGAATCTTCGTAGCCTTAGGGTTTTGAATTCGTTCCCTAGGGTAAGGACTCCCCTGAACTTGAGACTCTTATAATGCAGCTAACAGTGACAATACTACATGTCTGTCCCACCTACCTGTCCTTGGGTCACCTTTGCATCTCCAGTGCCCAGCAGACCCTGGCACAGAGAAGAAGTCAGCAGATATTTATCTGTTGTTAGAAATGAATGAAAAGTGCATGCCTGTAGTCCCAGCTGCTTGGGAGGCTAAGGCAGAAGGATCGAAGACTCAAAGCCAGTCTCAGCAACTTAGTGAGGCTGTAAGCAATCTAATGAAATTCAGTCTCAGAATAAAAAACAAAAGAGCTGAGGATGTGGCTCAGTTGTTAAGAACCCTTGGGTTCAATCCCTGGTATAAAAAAAAAAAAAAAATTGAACAAGAGAAGATTCAGGGGCTGGGATTGTGGCTCACTGGCAGAATGTGCTTGCTTAGCTTAGCATGTGTGAGTCACTGGGTTCAATCCTCAGCACCACGTAAGAAAATAAATAAATAAAAAGTTATTGTCCATCTACAACTAAAAAAAAGAAAAGAAAAAAGAACACATTCAGGAAAAGGGGCTGGCACTGGCCAGAGGTGGCAAAAAAAAAATCAGAACCTAGTTCAACTCCTAGCATTTTACCAATGAGGAAAAAGCCCAAACAGGAGTTTGCCACAGATTCCATAGCCAGTCAATGGCAAAGGTGGGTCTGGTGGCCAGGCAAAGACAGACCCTTCACAAGGCCCTGCAATAGTGACAATGGGTTATGTGCTACCCTACCTACTTTACTACCATCTGTCCCTCAACCTAAAAATAATACTTTCAATGATGTCCACATGGAAACTGTGCTAGCCATAGAGTTTTCCATGGAACCCTCAACTTCAAGGGTGCAGAAGGGGCTGGAGCTCCAAGTTCTCGGGCTTTTGGTACCCTGGGGAGCTGAGGACCTGCAGAAATTGCAGGAACACAAGAGGAACAGTAAGACCCTTGTTAAACCTCTCCTTCTTCATCTATAGAGTGAGGATAACCATCCCTAACCTTGCTGTGTCCCCTGAGGATTACACAAAATGCCAAATGGGTAAAATCTGCAGATTTTGACAGAGGCTTCTTTCCTCCATTCTTACATAACCAAGACCCCCCATTCCAAATCCACCCTTATGTTCACCCACACAACTCAATGCCCTCTACCCAGACCCTCCACAGTATGACAAAGTCCCTATTCCAGCCATTCCACTAATGTGACCTTGCCTTTCTGGGCTACAGCGTCATCATCTACACAATGTGGGCAATAGTCTACTCTGATGAATGATTTCAACAGAATATTTACAAGTCAATTCTTCAGTTTCTTCCTCTGTACAATGGGATAATGTCCACTTCTAAAAAGATTTTGTAATCACAAATCACCAGATACAAATATATTGGTATCTTTCTCCACTTTAAGGGGGTCCTTTTTTAGTGGGAGGGGATACTGGGAATTTAACCCAGGAGCAATTTTATCATAACAAGCCCTTTTTTTAAAAATTCTTTATTTTTGAGACAGGGTCTAAGGTGCTTGGGGCCTAGCTAAATTGCTGGTGCTGGCCTTGAACATGCAATCCTCCTGTCCTAGCCTCCAGAGCTGCTGAGATTATCACAGTGCACCACCTCATCCAATTAATGGTGTCTTTTTTAATTGAAAACTTTTTTTAATTTAAATTTAATTTTTTTAAATTTATTTTTAATTACAAAATGCACATATTTGAGGTATGTAATTTGATCAGTTTTGACATGTAATATACTCAATATAAAAAGCATTTCCATTACACTTTTTTTTTTACGGTGCAGAGTTAATGGTGCCTTAAAGTTACTTAAAGTAACTTTACTTTTAAAGCTGCTAATCAACCTGAACAGATTATTGGTAAAAATAAGGTTGTTCCAAGTGTGTTCACTGGTACACAGTGATGAAAAGGGTGGGCTCAGAGGTCTAGATACCCTGGTTCAAATCCTGCTCCATCACTTTCCAGCTGTAAAACTGTGGACAAGTGACCTTTAGGATCCATCGTAAAGCAAAAATAGTCCCTCAACTATTCTTGAGAGCTATGAGAATAAGATGGGTTAATCTAGAATAAAGCTAGAAGGTAGTGTCCATGCCACAGTTAAACGCTCAGTGAAGGTTTGATCAGCCTTCTGGTCCGTGGGGCAGAGGGAGAATTTTTCCAAACTCCCTAAATTTTATTCGTGATTCTCTGCACGATGGTCCCTGTTGGGCAGGTCCCACAGGTTGAGGAACTAGCCCAAAGTTCCCGGAGAGCGGATCAGTGCGGCCTCGGGCTCCCTTTCCAGGCCTCTCTTCACAAGCGGGTGCCCTCGCCTTCCCTGTAGGAGGCCAAGAAAAAGGTGAGCCCTTGCCTGGGGCAACCCAGTTGGCCAAAAGGCAGGATCTGGATGCCTAGGCAGGTTCCAGCGGGGGCCACTAGCTCCAGGCCGCGGCCAGGTGCACTTCCTGCACCCACCTAGCCGCTGGAAGCGGAACGCGCCACCAGATCGGCGCTGGTAGCCCGCGCGGCGTCGCGGGGCATGCCGGAACTTGTAGTCCGCGGCTGCCTCCCAAGACCCGCACGTCGCGATGGGAGAACTCCAGCCCCCAGGCGGCCCCGCGCTCAGGAGCGCGCGGAGACTGTGATTCAAGGGGCTTCGGGGCCGCCCGGGGCGGCCCCTCGGCAGCCTTACGGCCGCTGCCCCAACAAGCTCCGGGTCAGCCCGGCGGCCGCCATCCCGCACAAACCCTCCGCACGCACAGAGTAGTCGCAGCAGGCTGCAGTCCTGGAACTCACCGACTTTGTAGGGCAGTTTGTCAGACATGCTGGCGGCACTTCCGCACGCAGCGATGGACACAGGCAAAGGGGGGTGGGCCTTGGACTGAGAACCGGCACCTGGCGGGAGGCGCGCGTTAGAGATCTGCGTGTGGCGCCGTCTTCTTTAAATATCTTCCTCTTACTTGCATATTCATGAGTCCCTAGGGCTGAGTCGTCCGGGGCGGGGCCCAGCGCATGGGGGCGGGGCCGAGACAGACTTCGATCCCTGAGGAGAAAAGTACACGTTTTATCAGGTGCGGCCCTTAGACCTCTGGCACCAAGGAGAGCGGCCTGAGAACCAGCCAAGGCCGTTCTTTGTCTCATTGGTTCAGCCAGCATATCCGATGTTAAAAACAAACAAACCTTTGAAATACTTACCTCCTGATGCCCATGAGTAGGTTTCTCTGGGCCATTAGGAATGGAATATCCATGTATCTTGAGCTTTCCTAGATATTGCCCATTCCTTTCCAAGGTGGTTTTATTATTTACCCTTCCACTCTAGTGTTCAGGCTGGTCACTCTACATCCCTGTTACCACTTGTCATCGTCTGACATAAATTTTTATTGAAACTGATGGGAATGAAAATGTATCTCCTTATGGTTTTAATTGGCCACCTGAAGATCCTGTAACAACCATCAAGAGATTCTCCAGCCTGCTGAGATGATACATGCCTTTAATCCCAGCGATTTGGGGCTGAGGCAGGAGGATCATAAATTCAAAGCCAGCCTCAACAACCTCCCTAGGACTTGGGCAATTAAGTGAGACCCTGTCCCAAAAAAGGGGCGGGAGTCTCTGAGGTAGCTGTTTCTTACCACTCCCAGTGGTAAAGTGCTCCTGGGTTCAATCCCCAATACCAAAAATAGAAAAGAAAGAAAGATTTTCCCACTCAGGCACCCCTGCCTATCTCCATTTCTCCTACTTCCACCCTTCCCCTCCCCTTTCTTCACCTTCTCAAACTTTTTCAGAGTTTGTCCCTACTCTAGGTTGGCACCTTTTCATCGCCCAATCGGTCAAACTGCATGGCCTCCAATCCCAGATCTTATATGAAACTGCTTCAGCCAAGGTCATCAGGGAATCTGACGTAATCCGACCAATGTTGCCTCAGCCTGCATCCCAGCCCACCTCTTGACTTCTACTTACTCTACTCCTACTCTTCTTTCTCTTTATCTGGCCTTAACAGCAACTTCCTCCCTCTTCTCCTCCAACATCTTCCAGGGTTAATGGTTTTTATTTTTATTTATTTATTTTTTTTTAATGCAGTGCTGAGGATCAAACTCAGGGCCTCATTTGTGCTAGGCAAGTGCTCCACTACTGAGCTACAACCCTGGCCTTATGGCAGCTTCCTCAGTAATGTGACTACAAATGCGCACTCAACATAATGATCCCTTTACCCCTTCCTGGGCCATCTCACCCACACTTAGGGCAGCTCTGACCACTTCCATCTGGTTGATCTGTGTGTCCATGGAATAAAACATTTCCTTATCCCAGAGGTCATCTGTTTCCTTTCTCAATCACAAGCCCTTCCTCTCTCTCTCTCTGGAGTTACCCTACAGTGAGTTTTGACATCATTCATTTATTCATTCATTTATTTTGGTATGGGAGATTGAATCCAGGGGCACTTAATCACTGAGCCACATCCCAGTCTTTTATCTACTTTTTAGAGACAGGGTCTTGTTTAATTGCTAGGGCCTCACTAGATAGCCTCAGCACTGGGATTCTAGGCATGTGCCACTCCACCCAGCTTATTTTCTTTTCTTTTTTTTTTTTTAAGAGAGAGAATTTTTTTTGAGAGAGAGAGAGAGAATTTTAATATTTATTTTTTTAGTTTTCGGTGGAAACAACATCTTTGTATGTGGTGCTGAGGATGGAACCTGGGCCACACACATGCGAGGCAAACGCGCTACCGCTTGAGCCACATCCCCAGCCCTTATTTTATTTTCTTAATGAGTTTTACTAGGTATATGACAAACAGTACATCCCTAAACAATACACTGTTTCATATTAACTGCTTTTTGCCTTTGGAAAAATGAAGTTATACTGTATATATTTTTCTAAAAACTGTGCTTTCCTCTCTCAACATTGTTTTTGAGGTCATTCATATAGATTCTATAGCTGTTGCTGATTTATTTCCATCTTTATATAGCAAATTGAATGAATATATCATAATCTATTTATTCTATTATTGATGGACATTGGGCTGTTCCAATTTCTTACTACCACAAATAATACTATGCTAACATTCTTATGTATGTATAGTTCTAGGAATTGAATTGTTCAGGTCCAACTTTCCTAGATAACATGAAGCTGTTTTCATGAAGCCATTGCACCAATCTATACTCCCACCATAAGTAGATAAAAATTTTTGACATCATTTCTGTGTTCTTACCTGCTCTTCCTATTATCAAATTTTTTATTTTATGCATATTTGGTGGGTGGGAAATGGTATCTCATTGTGGTTTTAATTTGCATTTCTTTGATTACTCTTGAGGTTGAGCATCTATTTATTTTATAACCCATCTGGGTTTCTCTGTCTGTAAAAGTTCCATTCAAGTCTTTACCCATTTATATAGGTGATTTTTTTTCCTTTAATTTATTAAGAATTCTTTAAATATTCTTCAGACTAGTCTCTTGCTAATTATATGTGTCGCAAAAATCTTCTACAGGCTTATGATTGATTTGATCTTCTCACCCTCCCTAGACTGTTTTGTTTTGGATTTTGGTTTTTGAAGTATGGAGGATTAAACCAAGGGGTGCTCTGCCACCTTGTAGCTCCAAAATTATATGGATGTGTGTGTTTAGGACAGCCAAGACACTCTTTAAGAAGAACAAAATTGGGGGATTTCCCCTATCAGATGTTGTGACTTATAATAAAGCTCCAGTAATTCTGACAGTGTAGGCTTGGTGTAGACTAATGCACTCCCAACCCTTTTTTATTTTTTTATTTTGAGATAGCATTTCATTGCCAAGGCTGGCCTTGAACTTGCAATCCTCCTGCCTCAGTCTCCTGAGTATCTGAGATTATAGGCATTTGCTGCCATACCTGGCCCCATGTTGTTTTTTTGATGAATAGAAAATCTTATTTTTAATGTACCAATCTTTTCCTTTAAAAGTTAGTGGGGGGCTAGGGATGTAGCTCAGTTGAAAGAGTGCTTGCCTTGTAAGCCTAAGGCCCTGGGTTCAATCCCCAGCACCACCACCAAAACAAAAGAAAATTAGTGGGAATTTTTAAACTTATTTTAGAAAGCTGATTTATCAGCCAGTCATAGTGACACACACCTGGAATCCCAGCTACTCAGAAGACTGAGAACAGGAGAACAACAAGTTTGAGTTTAGACTCAGCAACTTAGCGAGACCCATTTCAAAATTTAAAAGGGGCGGGGCAGAGGGGGAGTTGGGGATGTAGCTCAGTGGTAGGGTACGCCTGGGTTCAATCCCCAGTCCTCATGAAAGAGAGAGAGAGAGAGAAAGAAGCCTTTATATCCCAAAGTCATAAAGAATTTCCCTACTGATTTCTTCTCCACGTTTTATAATTTGAGGACGTATGTAGAGTGAGGTTGAAATTCTTTTTCATTTTTTTTTCTCATGTGGATAAGCAGTTTTTTCAGTATCACTCAATGACGAGTGCACCCTTTCCCACTGACCTGCAGGACCATCTCTGACATAGAATGTCCACCATATTTGGGTGTTTTTCTGCTCTCTCTCTTCTGATGCATTAGTCTACACCAAGCCTACACTGTCAGAATTATTGGAGCTTTATTATAAGTCACAACATCTGATAGGGGAAATCCCCCAATTTTGTTCTTCTTAAAGAGTGTCTTGGCTGTCCTAAACACACACATCCATATAATTTTGGAGCTACCTCAGGTTCTAGAGAATAAAAACTTTAGGGTATTTTTTTCCTGAAATTGTATTACTTTGTAAAGTATTTTTAGGAAAACAAAGTATTTTGAGTGACATCTTTATGTCACTGAGTTATCTATTAGCATGGGATATATATGGTATATTTTTCTTCCTTTATTTAGATCTTTTTTTTTTAATGTCTCTCAATAAAATTCTACATTTGGGGCAGGGTTGTACCTCAGTGGTACAGCACTTCCCTAGCATGAATGAAGCTCTGGGTTTGATCCCCAGAAGTCAAACTAACAAACAAAAAAAAAAAACTCTGAGGATTTCAGGTATGAAGCTAGCCTCAGCAACTTATTTCAATAGATTTATTCCTTGGTGATTTTTGTTATTTTAATTTTTTTTCAGTGCTGTAGTGTTTGTTTGTTTGTTTTTTTGTTTTTGTTTTTTGGTGGTGCTGGGGATAGAACCCAGGGCCTTAAGCATGTACTCTACCACTGAGTTACAACCTCAGTTGCCTGTGTTATTTTAAACTTATCTTTTTAAATTTTTCACTTTTTAAGTGTTTGTGACAAACTGCTTTTAGTTGATTAATCTATTTGGAAGCCCTGATGATTTTTTACTTGTCTATAAATTATTTTCTATTTACTATGTATAAAATCATACCATCTGTATGTAATGAATTTTGTTTATTTTCCAATTTGGACACCTTATTTTCTTTTGCTTTACTGCATTGGCTAGACCAATGGTAAATGGTAATTGGAAGAGATGACATAAATAAGCACCCTTATCCTATTCCACTAGTGCTCATATGCTTCATATCATTAACCAGCTAACACTTCCCTCTGCCCAGTAACTATCCATTTAACCATCAAAAGAGCTCTCAAATCCAACCTGTGGCCAATGACCCAATTCCATCCTTCACCAGCCTCCTGACTAGTCTCTCGGCATGCAGCCTAACTGTGCCTCATCCCTATAGCCAGAGCGATCTTTTAAAAACACAAATCTGGTCATATCTTCCCTTTGCTTAATACTACACATTCAGTGGTTGTTGTTTTTTTTTTTTTTTTAAGTGCTTAACACAGTCTTCTATAAAGTGGGATACACATTTGCCAGCATGATTACAAAATGATCCATTAGTGTACAACAGGAAAATACTAGACCTCCTATTTCTATTCATTTTTGTCCTAAAATGGTGACATCTTGCAAAATGATAGATATCACAACCAGAATATTGGCAGTG